TCAACCGGGCTGCAGTGCGATGTTAAATGGAGGGAGGAAAAAAAAACAACAACAACGTGAAATCACGTCTAATGAATGAACATCTAATTTGGAGTATGTGCAAACAATACTTTGGTTTCTGGTGCCGGCAGGTGGATCATGGAGAAGTGTAGGTTTAATCCACAGTGGCTCTTAGATTCAAGATATAAAATTGGTAATTGGTTGGTCATGATTAGAATTGGATCTGGTGTTTTTCGCTCGCATAATGGGTGTGATGATGGTCTTAATTTTCATTTAAGTGGTCTTAAAAAGGTCTTTTAAAAGTCTTAAATTTGGGGTAGTCAGTCATACCCTGCACATATTAATTGCTTTTGTGTCATTAAGGAAAACAAATGCTCTTTCAGTTTCCGCATCAATGGAATCAACTGATAATGTAGGTAATTAAAGCCACATGTATGTAACATTTTAGCCAAAAAATGAAATGAAAATGCATTTGATTTAAACATTTTAACTTTCCATGAAATTATGCAGGTGATTTGCCACTACCAGAAAGGAGATTAATGAAAATATTCATCAAAAAGATACCTGAAGTTGTGTTTTGTTTCATTTACACATGTTTAACACACAAATCCTGCGTATTTAGGCTTAATTCTTCTCTCAGACTGACGATACAACTTCACTAGAATCATTTGGATACTTTCAGTCCTGAAACTGTTGATCTCTACTGAACAAAAGTTAAAAGGCAGCTGTTAACTTGAAAGATATTGCTTCATAACAGAGAGAAACAGAACATTTTGAGCTTTAGAGATGTAGACAGACTAATGATAAAGTATTACTCAAACATGTGAATGAAACAAACACAACTCCAAGCATGTTTTTGAGGAGTTAACATTAATATCAATATTCTAACATGTCCTAAAGCTTACAAGAATCAATTCCGTGTAATATAGGAGCTTTAAATATAAATGAAACTAACATCTATTGCAGTTATATATGGGATAAGGAAACAATAGTGAGACTGGTCCATAGATTTGCCTTGAGTTTTCTGTTTGATGTCACAACAGAAGGAAGAAGTGCCAGTGTCTAATCACAAACCTTTGCACTAATTAAAATAACAAAGACCAAATTAAAGAATTATTGATTCATGTGCACACCGCCTTTGTTTTGCTCAATATAACACCATCCATCTTTATCGTTATCTAGTTTTTAATCCTGGATCCATTTCGCTGCAGTCCATAGTCTTTTAAGCAGCGGTGGGGCCTAAAGTCTTGAATACGAATGAGTATTGATATACAGATTGGTGTCCATTAAGCCTTTTTGAGTGATATTTCTGACCAAAGCAATCAGTGTTGTAGAAAATCAATCCTCATGCATTTGGAATATAAAAGCTAATAATAAATGACCCTCCCCACTGCTTTTGCCCCCAGGAGTTACAATCAAAGTTACAATGGGAGTAATCAGGAACTTGAAAACTATTAAAAGTCCATCTTGGTCGCGCATGTTTTATGTATTAGACTCTTTCGGTATTAGCAATATGTGCGTGTGGGCCTCAGAACATAAATCCACTGAAGTCATTATTGCTGTGCTCATTTTTCTGCTTTGACATGTGGGGGTAACTTTTGGGCGGTTTTCATAGCTCAGGATTCGGGTTTTGTATTTACATTATTATACAATACATTATTCATTGTCTAAAAATGAATGAAAAATAAGTTCCCAATTTGGCGTGTACTTTATTCAGAATTGGTGGTGTTAATGTATAGCCACAGCTGCCCTGCGGTGATAGATTGTTGGTTGGAAATGTGGCTACAAATCTGTCCCAAATGTGCCCGGGATTAAGAATACTCACTTCACTACTTTACGAAGATGTGAGTCTGGTCATTGATGGGCATGATTGACCGGTGGATTAGCCAATCAGGGGCATGCATGTTCTCTTTAAACGAATATTACACTATTTTCTGATCTATGTTATAATCATATAATATTTCTTCATCACAAACATAACTGGAGTTGGGGTTTGTTTCATTCACACATGTTTAACACACAAACTCTGCATATTTACCCTGAGTTCTTGGTGGAAAACACTCCACCTTGTGATGTCATGTGGTAATACAGTGGTCCACCTTGGCTACATTGAGACTGCAGCCTGAACTATGCGACCTGTGTCTGATCTTTTCATGACAGTCTGGATGACACAGATCAGATTTTTTTCAAATGCGACCCAGACCTCTTGGATATGTGCTCCTAAAACCGATACATATCCGATCTTTTGACATGAGACTTCAGTCTGAATGGCCAGGTCGCATTCATCCCACCTACACGTCAGGCTCAGAGTCTAGTCGATGTTTTTGCTGTTTTTGAAATGATTGCCCAAGAAATAGCTGAGCGCGGCTACAGGCGGTCCTGGCTTCAATGTAAACCAAAAATAAAGAGCCTGCAAGCCAAATACATGGAGGTTAAAGACTCAAACAAACGAAGCGGCCATGGACGTGTAACCTGTCCATTTTACAAAGAACTGGACTGTATTTTGGGAGACAAGTTCAGCGTTTAGGCGACTTCCGGAAACACTGAGCACAGCCTCTTCATGTGACGTCGTCGTATCCTCCAATGTACACTTTTGGGTTGTTTAAAGTTCACACTGGAGATCACACACAAGTCACATTTAAGTGGAAATATGAAGGACCTCGCAAGAAAATCGGATTTCACAAAACTCTCCAAATTGTGCATTAAACCCTGCAGTCTGAACGTAGTCTATGTTTGGAAACTCCATACACCTTCACTAAAATCATTTGGATGATTTCAGCTCTGGAATTGCCAATCTACTGAACTAAAGGTATAAGATAACTGTTAACATGACAGATAAAAGGTTACTCAAACATGTGTGAATGAAACATAACACAACTCCAAGTATCTTTTTGAGAAGGTAACAACATTATAACCTGCCTTAAACTTCACTAAAGTCTATTTTGCGTAATATGGGACCTTTAATTCAAAATGATGGGTGACCAATGCCACTAAAAAAAACAAATCTGATTGGACCTGGCCCGATGGAAGGAGTGGTCTCCAGACTGATATTCTAAACTTGTTGCGAGCCCCAAACAGCTCCAATTACATCCCATCAAACTCCTTCACTTCCACTTTTCACGATGACAAAGTATTTTTCACAATACGCAAATAATATGACATTCTTTATTAGCTTGTTTGAACAGAACTACGGAAATGCAAATAATATACCTATTGTCGTTCTAATCCAACTTCCATCTGTGCTTGCACCATCATATTGACATCTTCATTACTGTCATTCATCGTTTGTACGTGGGACTTTATCACGTTTTTATTAGTGCACCTGCTGCGAACTGTTGTGAGGCAATGTCACGTTACATTTAATACATCTGTCTGTGTGGTTGTGATCGCGGTTGGAGATGATGATTTTCATACTTTGTTGTTTGCATTTCACTAAAATAGCTTTATGGGAAAATGCTGCGTTTTGTCTGACTCAAGTTCAAAAGATTAAATTTTTGTTAGATTGTGTTTGACTTGTTCTGCTATATTTACTCGCTTTTGAATAGTTTTATTGTTTTTTTTTCTTCTTCTTCTTCTTATTTCAAGTTCAAACTGAAGAAATTTACAAAGAGGAAAAATTGTGCTGTTTGTGAAAAATTTTACTAATGGATCTACACAATTTAAAATAATTCCAAGTGACTATGACATGTTCTTTCAGTAGCCCTGTAGTGAGGGTCTCGGAGATGTTATTGCTTTGTCTGAAATGATTCACAGTACAGGTCAGATCTGTGTGTTTCTTTAGGTATTTTTGAGCTATAAAACTACCTGTAATTGAATAAATCTAAAGTAAATCAGAGGCGAGGGGTTAAAGGTTGTATAGAGGATTTTCCAAGGAACGAGAAATCCAGCGACTGTTTGTCCTTTTTCAAATGTTGCGCATGCGTGAAACCACCCCCCCTCCCCTACAGCTCCCTACGTAGAAACGCCTCCTCCCGCCTCCTCCTTACGCCAGAAACAGGTTTGTTTCTAGAAAACAAGTACTCATCGCTGCACATGACTTGTAAACTAACTAACTACAGTGTTGGTTAGGCAAGGCGGAGAAGTGAGGAGCGGGGGGAGGGGGTGAGCGGACATTTCGTGCGCGGAAAAGAAGTGAGGAGCAGCGGGAAGAGCGGAGCGGGCAGCGGGGAGAGGAGCAGTAAGGGGTGCAGAGAAGGGTGCGCGGAGATTCAGTGCGAATGAAGCTACTACTACAACACGCAGCTGCAAGCGGACTCTTTCTTTGCATTGAAAATGATGTTTTCAGACATAGGATATCGCATTCGTGTCCTGAAAAACGTTTGTCTAGCTCTTGGAAATAAAGTACGTTTTCATAATAAGCAGAAGTTACCTGTCCAGGAGTAATTTGGCGACCAGTGCGTCAGTCTTTAGACCCTGCGTCTGCTTCAGTTGCGCCATCGCTGGAATGAATCTACAAGAATCACCTTAGTTTGGCTTTGCTGCTTTTCCCCTTGTCTTCTTCTTTCAGCGACCTCAAAAACAGACTTTCTTTTGCGGCTAACTGCTCCTGGATTCTTGTCTGCCATTGCAACAAACTTTGTCAGTTACGCTAGAAACGTAGGGAGTTTGATTGACAGCCTGTCAACTAACAGATAACGAGGCAGTGTCGTTATCTATTGGCAAATGTTTAGCCCCACCACGTCCTGAGTTGATGAATTTTTATTCTCTTTTTTTTGGTCATCATAATTACAAGGCTACTGCACCTCTATAATGCTATCATTGACAATTTGAAACAAAAAAAATTCCTCCATACAACCTTTAAGTGTCACAACAAAAGTATTCATCTGCTGAAATCGCATCACCAACCTGTGGGCCAGTGGATCTAACCGCTCGACCAATAATGTTTATGTCAAGAGAGGGGGTCAAACCACTGACCGCACTCATATTTTGTCTCTTCTTTGCAGTTTAACTATCCACAAATCTAATATTCTTCTGTCTTCTCTTTGCATGTCTCTTCTCAGTGCTGGTTCTTCTCATCCTGACTCTGAAGCGCCACCGTAAAGGCCAGCGCATGACCGAGGAAGAGGAGGACATGCGCGACAACGTCATCAAGTATAACGACGAAGGCGGCGGCGAGCAGGACACGCAGGCCTACGACATGAGCGCCCTACGCAACCTCTACGACTTCCCCGAGTCCAAGGGCTCCGAACCGGGCCCCGATATCCGATCTTTACCCCAGTGGATCCAGACCAACCGCCACAACGGGACCACGTTACGGACGGGGGCGGAGACCAACGCGGTGGCCAGCCTGGGCGTGGAGGCGGTCGCGGCGGATTTCTCGCTTTTCAAGGGTTACATCAAGAAGAAGGTGGAGCAAGCGGACGCGGATCTGTCAGTCCCGCCGTATGATTCGTTTCAGACCTACGCGTTCGAAGGCTCCAGTTCGCCAGCGCTGTCCTTAAGCTCTATCCACACACTCTCCACCACATCAGAGCAGGATTTTTCCTACCTCAGCGACTGGGGGCCGAGGTTCAGGCAGCTGGCGGGCTACTATGCTCCCGGGAATCTTGAGGAAGAGGGGTCCTAGCACAGCAGACCAGGATAGACTACTAAAAACTGCTCTCCCCATCCTAACCTCCTGGACAAATCAGAGCCAGCGCTGTGTCCGTCACTAAAACGAGATCCACTCTGTCTGTATCCTCTTGCTATAACCGAGTCACTGAGGCAAAGTGCAGGACATTTGGAAGTGACTTTTGTTGAAAGTGCTAACATCAGTGGTAACGGAATGGTGAATCTACTCTTTCCCAAAGTGTAAAATACTATTATTGATTACTGGTCATTTATAGAAATACTAATTACCTTATCATATGAATTGCCTTTTTTCTAAATAGAAGAAATTTTGTTAATGACGAAGAGACGAATGAGGCATTACACTGACTTGTTAATGGGATGTTTGTGCACATGGTTTCAAACAAGCTGAAGGCACAATAGTGGTATGTTCAGTAACTAAGCAACTGTTCAACCTTTAGCCAGAGGGTTGCTGGGTCGAATCGAAATGAGACACAATTTCCACAAGATAAGACAAAACACGAGACTGAATCAAAGAGAAAACGAGATTCTGACACAATTTACGATAAATTAAATGTTGTCCAGCTCAAAGTTTTGCCCTATTTTTGTTGCCAGTGTCTTTTTGGAACTACAGCTTCTGAAAAGGTGTAACTCACTAGCACTTAACTCTATCCACCTGTAAACAAATGGAAAAAAAAAAAAAATGAAATTATGAGATCCTGACGCGCAAGATCTTGTCCCATCCTTAGTCTGCAGCTGTTGTCTCTTGTCCGTTCTAGGAAGGAGTAACAGGAAGGAGATCTGGTGCAAACAACAACAGTGTATCCTGCTTTCTGTGACAAAACTGAAAGCAGCCACATAAAACAAACGTTTTCTTTATTTCATTCATTGTGTCATTATGTAAAAATGACAAAGGATTATAGCTATTCATTACCGGCATAATTTAAAGCTGCACTATGGGACTTTTTGGTTCAGGGTCTGTCCATTGCTTGTTTCTATGGATACATCATTGCTCTGCTTGGAATGTTCCACAGTATGACATTATACAGCTCTACTTTACATTTATTCAAGTGGTTTCATAGCTTAAAAATACCTAAAAAAAAACACAGTCATTCTGACTGTGAGGGGGTCGCTTCTCCACAGATCTGACCTGTAACTTGGTCTGTTTTGGTCTCCATGAAGATAGAAATGTTTACTGTGAAACATTCCAGACAAAGCGATAACATCGCCATGTAGAAAAACATTTGACAGACCCTCCACCAGAAAAGTTACTAAATTTACCCTCCTCTAAATAACATAAAATTTTGTGCAGACCAAATTAATGCAAAACACTGTCTCTTAAATGAGATATTTACTCATAATCTGCAAATGAAAAGATCAGACTCCAACAGGTGCCACTGGCTAAAAGGTTTATTTTTGAAAAACCTTTTAACCATCCTTCAAGTTTTTGACTCTGATGATTCAGTAATTTCAAAATGTTCGTATATTACTTCTTAGGATTGGAGTATTTTGGGCAAATGAGAGGAAAGGCTTCGTATGACAGTATTCATATCAAGGTTAGCCGTGGATGCAAAGGCCAAACTTGTATTTATAGTAAGAAGGAGATATTTATGTATTTATTTGTCATGTATTTATTTATTTATTACATCAGACTGTTCTTAACGCCTCAGTGAACTCAGCTCGGAGTTAGCTAAGGACAATATGAAAAGAAACGAGAAAACAGCACGGACTTCGTACAAGACTGGCTTTGGGGTGGCTTCTGGGTCACCGAAAAATACGCACTGTCCTCAAAAGATTTGTATTTATTTTCTACAAACTATTTTGTAAAAATAACCAAGGGACAAAACGGATAACAAAGAAGGAACAGATGGAGCGAGAAAGACTTCACAATTGGTCGATTACAGGAGCGATTGACATACTTTCGCGTACTTTGTTGTGATTTATGAAAGGATTTTCGGGGGTCAAAAAGACGGACAATTGTGGGTTGACAATTTGTTTTTCGTATACTTTTTTCACCGCCAATTGAAAGGCAATAAAGGCACAAAATGGCTACAGTGATTCAGACTGGATGGTGCGACGCAATTGGCTAGCTGCTTGTCCCACTGGGAGCCAATCAGCATTCCATATTCTTTTCTTCTGTGTTTAATATGTTGATCTGCTTTTTTATATTTGGGTATGTTTTGGTTTGATATTACTTTAAAGGGAAAGGGGGAATATATTAAGTGTATGGTGACGAATTAAGGACTGGTCACTTGATAACTTGATAACCACTTAAACTTCTCAATGTTGAGCTTAAATTGCAAATGTATGGAAAATAAAACAAAATAAATATTTAATTTTTTTGGTACGAACTTTTGAGATGCTGCTTTGTTCAAGAGAAAGACAACGGGATGCTGTTTCATTCATTGCATATGAAAGATTAAAGAGGGCGTAGGATGCAAAGTGTATATTTTTTTAGCTTTCAACCATGTTATAATGTTGTTCCCTCATCAAAAACATGCCAGAAGAGGTTTTAGATGTCATCCATGAATGTTTGAGTAATTTGCGGTCTTTCCTGGGCACTATTCAAACCCTCCTTACAGTTAGCTCTAAGATTCTGCCCTTTAACTGATGTGAACCATGCTCCGACACTACAGTTCTCCATAAATATACAAAAAACATGATACAAAACTGTAACACAATAACTTGAACCTGATGTGATCTGCAGTAGCGGGATGCACGTTGCGCTTTGAAGGGAGAGTGACTTAATGTGGAGGGGAGACACACACACACAAAAAACATACATCGTTTTAATAAAAGGTAACATGGTGATATCTGTGTTAATACCGCATAGAAGTAAAGTACCCTCTCTTTAAACTATCACATTTAATCTCAAGTCTAATGACATTTAAGTCTCACACTGGTAAATGGATTTATGTAGTTTGACAGCACGGTAATACTGGTTTGAAATATGGCATTTATGTTTAGATGCAAAATGCCAAGGGATATTTAAGCGAAAATGTCAGCAGGTTATTATCATCATTTGTATACATCACTATACTAACCTAGATTCTCTGCAAACTCAAAGTGTAAAGATACTGTAGTTGAACTCAAACTCGACTGATCCAGATTTATTTACTTTGGTGAATGTTGCAAATTTGGTCAAATGGTCAAATCTGGAAGGAAGAAAAAATAACATAAAGGTTTATTACATAAATATGGCCTATTGTAATCTGTGTATCAGTCGTTCATTCGTTTTTCAAAATAAAGCCAAAAATAACAAAATGAAAAAATAACTAGTTTCTTCATTATTTGTCTCCAAAACCAAAATGAAAAAATGGATAACGATGCATTTTTTCAGTTTTCACTTTTGTGTTTAAATGTATAATGAAAAAAAAAAAAAAACAGATAACAGCTGTTTCCCATTGACGTGACTTAAACTGCAACGCCAGACTGAACCAGGACTGAACCAGGACTGAACCAGGACTGAACCAGGACTGAACCAGGATTGAGTGTTGGGATGGGCCCAGAGATGCTCCCATGTATACTGTCGGCTGATCAGGACTGAGACTGGGACTGAGTCCGGGATTGAGACGGGGAGTGAGAGCAGAGTTAAGACCAGGTCTGACACCGGGACTGAGATTAGGAGTAAGACAGGAACTGAGACCAGGACCAGACCAAAACTGAGACCAGGCCTGAGACCAGGACTGAGACCGGGACTAGGACTGAGACCAGAACCAGTCCTAAACTTAGACCAGGCCTAAGACCGGGACCAGACAGTTTAGACCTGGTTCAGTCCTGGTTTAGTCCTATTTTAGACCTGGTGTAGTCATGTTTTTGTCCTGTTTTTGTCCTGGTTTAGTCCGGCATCTCACGGAAACAGGAAATGGCTATTATCCGTCTTTTCCATTATTCATTTAAACACAAAATCGAAAAACTGAAAAAAAAAAAAAAAAAATCAGTTTTTTCATTTTGATTTTGGAGGCAAATAATGAAGAAAATAGTTGTTTTTCATTTTCTTATTTTTGGTTTTAGTTTGAAAAACAAATGAACGAATGATACACGGATTTATTGTGTCTCCGGATACGAGGCACGTTCAAACAAAACACAGCTGATTTGTTCATATTTACAAAATCATTGTATGTGATTGCAAAGCTGTTTATGCTGTCAGTGGTATTTTGGTTCTCAAGACAATTATCCAGTCAGAAATGACCTCACATGAGCCTCACATTTGTCCATATGATACCTATATAATGAAAATAAAAGTACTTGTATGTATTTTCAAAAGTAATTAAAGGTAAATTTTTTAACTTTTCTGGTGGAGGGTCTATCAAATTTTCTTCATGGAGATGTTACTGCTTCATCTGGAATGTTTCACAGTATGGCATTAAACCTTTCTATCTTCATAGCAGTGACATATCCATAGAAACAAGCCGGGGACGGACCTCACACCAAAATGTTACACAAAGCAGCTTTAAGATACTGGCTACTATGTGATTGTAGTTTAAAAAAAAAAAAAAAAAAAAAAAAGCAGTAAGAGTCGAGGCTATCTACCTTTCAACAACCTTTTGAAGCTGTTCATTTTTCTCCGCTTTCAAATTTGTCATTGTGAACAGTCCAAATTTCTCCAAAAGACATCATCTTTTCTATCAAACAAAATCTGCCAAGAATTCATAAAAAATAAATACATCAGAGAATTGTGTTTGCTGCGTAGGACGAATGACAAAATTACCAGACTTACCTGTCACTTTGTTGTGATTTATTTAATGCCAACACAGTAATACCTTATATATTTCATTTGCAGTAACCTATAAAATATATGATACACATTATTCATATTTAACATCATTAGATCCGTTTTTGTTCCAATAGAGCCTGTATTATATCACTGTGTACCTTTGCCAGACACTCATTTGCTCATCCATTATTAATACTAGCCTTTAGCCTAACTGCACTTTTTTCCTGACAGGGAAATACTGCGCCAGACGGATACACGCATACAGCTCTGTAGTACACTGGTGGAAGAAGTACTCTCAATTATGTCATTTAAGTAAAAGTACAGATACCAGAGCAA